CACAAATTTAATTTTTTTGAAAACAATGAATTTGTAACCGGCTGGAATTGATTTTCCAAAATAATGGATTTGTAACTTTTAATTAAAATCTCCAATATTCCCCCTCCATTTTAATTAAAAATAAAAGAAACTTAGAAAATGAAAAATATATAGGCAAGGATGGATTACTATGCATAATAGAGGTAGCAATGCCTTGAACCTCTACTTAGTGAGTCAATGATTCCTATTCCAAAGTCACTAGTGAGCAAAGTCTTGAACTAGGACTACTTAGAGGATATAGGAAACCATATTACACACATTATAATCCAGGTGTTAATTTGAGCTTGGTAAGCTGGCACATTACGACCTTTGTGCCTAATCCTGGTATTCATGGATGATCTAGAGAATAGCCCTATTCTCATAGGAGCGGCCCCACTCCGACATCCATATAGGTGAAATTTGTCAAGGATGCTCCCATAACTAAGACGCCCCACTCTATGAGCTACAAATTTCATTAAGAGTATAAAACTCAACCCTCAATTCGTTATGGGATCGATGCATCCTCACCTTAGGAATGGGACCGAAAATTTTCGTTAAATATTGATACATCTTTCAACAACGACTTCTCTATGATTCGTTTTTCCCATTCGAAACCCAATTCTTAGAATTCAGGTTGGGTATCCTCATAGGAAGTTCTACATTATTGGGCTTAAATCCAATTCCCCTCGATGAGCACTAGACCTTGGACTATGATCATAGATTTTCCTCCAACTTTTGTTTTTGCCAAAGGCCTAGTTGGTGGTATAGTGGGTAACGAAGAGATTTAACTCATTCTTATTCTCACTTTTTCACATCAACCCACTTGTCTGCTAGCTCAAAAAATTCACATTCATATTTCTCAAATTCTCAAATTCTCAATTCATGGTACCACAATTTTTGATATTGAGCTAGTGAACCACCTTTTTCTTTCCATACATGTCAAAACATGTATTTAAGAATTTTTAACTCAAACACCATTGTACCTTGTTGTACAATAGGAATGTCCATCACATACCCCTTTTCTCAAGTGCCTTATTATTCTTTTTCCATCATACACCATTATACCATAATTGTATAATAGGAATGCATATCACATTTATTTTATTAAGCACCATTATACCTTATTGTATAATAGGAGTGCATATCACATTTACTTTCTTAAGCACCATTACACCTTATTGTGTAATAGGAATGCTATGCAAAATCTCAATTAGGCATCATTGGTCTCATCATCAATAATAATATATAGGGATATCACAATCCCCCACATTGGAAGCATCTCAAATATGTGATTATCACATTTTCTCAAATAATTGAGTTCATGAAGAAACTCATTTTGCTCACAAGATTTTTATAAGAGCATATTTGCTCATCTCACTTTTCATCGCCACAAAAGGGTCCTTGGTCACGTAAGCTTAAAGGTTTAACTTTCGTTTCCGGAGTATATCAACCCAAATATCAAGTCCTTTTTTTTTTCTTTTTTCTTTTTTTTTTTTTCAAAATTGTTGCATGGACGAAATGGGGTAGCTCTCTTCTTTAGTCTTTTCACTTGCTCAAATTTTCATAGACCATTTTCCATGGTTCCTAAATGAGTAAGACAACACAACACTCACTAAAGATTTGTCAGAGAGCAAAAATAATCAACAAAAGATATGATTATGAAAAATATTTTACACATACTTGCATAACCAATGCACTTAATATTTTACTAGCCGTTGGAGTTAAAACATATTCATGTTGAAATTTATTAGCTGCAAATACAACTCCTTAAAGATTGCATCATGACATAATAGTTTCACATGCTAGGTAATATTTTTTTTTTTACTCCTTTTTTTTTTTTTACTATTGAAAATATCTCACAAATTAAGAGTATGACAGCAGCAAAAGGAGCACATATCTGCATGCATTAAATTCATAACAATTTCCATTTATGATATTT